AAACCCAAACTTTTCAAAATTTATTTCAGGCTTTTATAAAAAGCTTTCAGTTAATGTTCATGAAAGTTGTTTCTAAACAAACAACCCCAAATTTTGGCCAGGTCTCCACTGCAGAACGTCTTGCCAGCAAGCACTGTATCAGCCAGGGGTGTGGAAAAAAGTCATACATCCTTGCTGACATCGATATGTTGGCAAAACCCCAGGTGTGGATGCAGCTGTGCCAGCAGAAGAGAACTTTTATCAGCTTAGCTTATGTGTTTGGGGAGGTGATGCAACTACGCCAGCAGAAGAGCTCTTCTCTTGGCATGCGCTGTCAGCGTAGGAGGCTCTGCCAGCACAGCTACGGCAGGGGGGGTCTGCCCGCCCCGCCGACGAGCCTTTTGCAGCAACTGGAAAGGAAAAGCCCCTTTGAACAAAAGAGGGACCTCTGTCATTTAGTTTTTACAAGTAGTTGTCGATGAGGAACAGAGCAGAAAGAGTGATTCAGATTTTAAAATTAAGTTTTAATGTAAAAAATGTGTTTAAGTCGTATGGGTTTAAGATGTCACTGGCCCTTTAATGGTTGTCTGTGTGTCACTGGGTTGCAGAGTTTGAGAGCTGCAGTATGCCCAGCATCTGTGTTTTGTAAAGCCTTTAAGGCTGGTAAAGGTATGAGTTTCTGTGGAAGCAGTGAAAAACCTTCTGTCTGTAAACTTAGGAAGACAACTGTAATCACATTTACATTCCTGTCATATTTGGATGTGACCACTAGCACTAAAGCATCTTCATGTTTAAATAAAAGTTGAAATTTCTCAGAAAGGAGTGTTTATGTTTTACAGGAACTCAGAGTTAGGATTCCTGCTCTTTCCTCTCTCTCTCTCTCCCCCCCTCCTCTCCTGCCTTTGGCCAGCTGGTGACAAGATTTTACAAAGCTTCAGTTCTTCATAACATAGAAAACCGAAAAATTTTAAGGGAAAAACATTGTAAGAAGTAAAAGCAAAACCAAACCAAAGGTGCTGAAAAACAGAATAGAGGCTCTTAGTCTTCAATAGTAATTACCGGTTAAGATAAAGACTGGTACGTGTATGTTGACTTTTATGGCAGCTGTAGATGCATGCACGAGGGAAGTGCGTGTTTCAAAATCTTGAACAGAGCAGTTGTGCATTTTGAGAACTCTGCAGAAGGCTGTTTGAAGGGAAGAATAGCACCATGCCAGACTAAGTTTGTTCAGTTCGTTATGAAAATGTTTTGAAACTAGTTGCTCTGTCATTCTGTGTTGCTTGTAACCCTAAAAATAATTGCCTGGTGTTACTGGAAGCAGAATGGTCTGACAGCCCGACTTGTGCTGCTATAGTTAAAATCCGTCAATGTTTCCATTACAAACTTGGAGGGAGGATTTAATCTTTTTCCCATTTTAAATCATGCCTGGAAGAAATTCTAGATCAGTGCTTCAACTCCAAGTATAAATCTTTTGGAAGAGATTTGATGTTTCTAAAAATCTTTATTTAAAAACAAACAAACAAACACATTTCCAACTCTGTGGCAATGAAATACTGATATTCAGTTTTGAAATGTTAAATGATCAGGAATATATTTCATTCTTTTTGGTAATTTTCAGTTCAATTAAATTAGGCAACAACAATGTTTCTACATATCAATGTTGACTTTATAGCGAGTGTTGCCGTTTGCTGTTCCAGTCTATTATTGCTGCATAATAAACTTTGCAATATGCCGAATTGGAAGATTTCAAAACCTAGGGAAACACAAACAAGAAACACATAATTATCATAAAGTATTGATATAAAGGCATGCCTCTGTACTTTGTACAACTTCATTCCAATTTCCCAAGATTATCTCCAAAAGAGTTTCACTTTTCTTGTGTATTAAGGCTGTAGTTTCATGGATGCTTTAAACTGAGGTAAACTGTAATCCCCTCCTCTCTGCCTACACATTGCTGTTCCTGCCTTGTGACAGCCAAAGCTTTTGCGTAGCACAAAACCACATGTGGTGAACCAGATCAGGGAAGATAATTTTTTCGGTTCAGGCTGTGGCTACACAGCTGTTTGTACTAGTCCAAAGATGAGGGTGGCACTGGGGCGGGAACAAGTGAGTCTACATTGATATCTCACTTTATATTCCACTTTCCCCCTGCCCCCCGCCGTGCCTTTCCTCTGCAGTTCACAGGGCGGTTCTTTGCTATGAGCTTCTTGAGCCGTGGAGGCTCAGGCTTTTGCAGGAAAGGGGTCGCATGCAGCCAATTCTTTTGTCAGTGAAAACCTTGTAGTCACAAGACTTTTACTGGCAACTTTAGTTCTCTAGGATATTCGTTAAAGTATTCCTCTCTTACAACACCACAGACCTGTTCATAATACTTTCTGTACAGTGTCCTCCTGTACTGTTGTTAATGCAAATGATTAGGACTGCTCTACTACAGATTTTCTCTAGGATGTTTTTATGTTTCATTAGGGTCTGATTTTAAGAACAATAGCATTAGATACCTTGAGGACTAGGTAGAAGTGCTTATGTGCTTATCTCCTTTTGAAACTTGAATTTTTTGCCATTAACAGAATCTTTTTCTTGACACTCTTGAAATAATCCACAAATACTGAGGTCAGTGGCAATATGAAAGTTCTGCCAAGGCACACAATTAATTTAAAGTCTGGTCCTTAAGCTGTCTGTGCTCCCTCTCTATCTTTGAAAAAACAATAGCAGTATTGTGTGAAGTACTAGAAGCCAGAAGAGCTACAAAAGAGACTTCTAACTATTTTTATATTTCTGGATAGATTAAGGAAATAGCATGGTCTTCGTGTCTGCCACAATAATTCATTTATGACATGTGGAATAGTTATAGTGATGTAAACTTAGTTTATACGTGCTGGAACTTAGAGGAACAATATCTCTTACTTCATTTTTACATCAGATGCCACAATGAAGAGTGATAAAATCCTGTGAGTAACATTCAGCAGAGATTATATACAATTTGAGCCTGTGTCATGGCTTAAGCGTGCTTCAGATGGTGGTTGGGTATATTAGAATGTGCCCGTGAATCCTGTCCCAAGTGTGGGGTGAAAGCAGGTGTACTTAAAATACATGAGTAATTACGTACAGACTTAACACAGCGCTCCAAATGGTAAACAGGCTACAGTAGACTGAGCTAATGTGCATGCCGCGATTTCTATCTATAGCTTACTCTAACGTGCTTTTTCCTTTGCAGCAGTCCATTGTACCAGCCCACCCAATGGCTCCTCCTAGTCCCAGCACCACCAGCAGTAATAACAACAGTAGTAGCAGCAGCAACTCAGGATGGGATCAATTAAGTAAAACAAACCTTTACATCAGAGCACTGCCTCCAAACACCACTGATCAGGACCTGGTAAAATTATGCCAACCGTAAGTACTATGCTTAAAGATAAATTATAATGTCATACCTTAAAAGCTTATAGTAGGTATACAAAATGAGCGTTTGGATTATGAGGGAAGAAAAACAGATTCGTAAATAAAAATCCTCGTGCTGTAGTACGATGGCAAGTTTCAACTTCCCTGGCAATCAGAAGGCAAAGAATGTGTTTGGCACTTTGGAGAAGCAAAGAAAGTTGAAATATAATGGTGAACGGAAGCAACCCATTGCTTTAGGAAAAACTGTGATCACCCACATTGCTGCCTGATGCTGTTGAAATCACAGATAAATGAAAATTAACACCTGAATGTGAAACTTGCTATTAAGAACCTGCAACAGAGGGTCTCCTCTGTTCACTGCTAAGATAATCTGTTGATACAACTCCTCAAGTAATTGTTCTGCATCACTGTAAATTACAGAGTGCATTTGAATGCTTATCCTAGTTTCAGACTAATTTATGTTGGCTGTACATTACTTCATAATTATATTTATGATTAGAAATAGTTGATCTGTGTAAGAATCCTCTCTAATGGCTGGAGTTCCGGGTAGACTTGGCTTAGCAGAAGGTTTTCAGGCAGTGTTGTTAACATGAGATTTTTTTGCTTGTGTGAGTTCTTGGTTTTGTTTTTTAATTTTTACAGCAGCACATGCCTTTTAGTTACTTTCAAATGTGGGTCAGATATCAAAGGACTGTGCAATTATGTTGTTTATACACTGTTTAAAATCACCCTTCTTAAATGTTTTACTGAATTTTTAAAATCCTTAGTACTTCCAAAATTCATAGTGCACTTTCTGGATTATTTTGAAATCAAAAGTACTTAGCTAAATTTTCAGTACTACCTGTAAGAAAACACCCAAATCTCTCTTGAATGAATGGAGAATCATTAAGATTTGTATATAACACTGCTGTCTGAAATTCTCAAAGTAATTTTATGTTCAATTTAGCAGATGAGTAACTAGGAATATACAAAAATACATGCCCAAGGTCACAACACAAGTTGTGATCCAAATAGCTAGGAGAATCTGTAAGTCTTCGATCCCAGTTTATATGAGGTGCCTTTGTTTTTGAATATTGTAAAAAACCTGATACCTAATTTATAGAGAAGAATTTTTATTTTTTTCTTTTTTAAACAAAGCTTGGTCTTTCAGAATAGTAGTCACATATCAGTTGTCTTAGTATTGTAATAAAAACAACTTGCTCTCAGGTCTTTAAAGAAAAAAATGTTCCATTTTGTCATTTTCCCAGCAGCAAATGAAATCCATGTGTTTTACAGAAAAGAGAATAGATTATCAATCTGTGAAAATATTAATTGATAAATTAAACATTTTTACAGCTTCCCATGCAAAAATGACCTCTTGTCACTTGAATTTTAGTTGTAAATGCATGTTTTACAGAAGTGGATTTTTCCTTCCCGTTTTTGTCTTTTGAACTGATGAAGAAACCTTGGCCTGCGCACTGATGTTATGTTAGGACAGACTTGTGAGGTTATTTTGCACTGGAGCCGCCCAGTAACTACTATTTGTGCAGTGGTTACTATAGCTCCTTAATCTCTTTCTGCAGGCATTTTGGTTTGCACAGTCTTAGATGTCATCGATGCATGAACATCCTAGAAAAAATATGTTCGATAGTTTGCTATAACTGGTCCTTTTCCTCTTGGATAGCCAAAGATTCCGATTTTTTTGTTGTTGCTGTTCAATATATAATTGTAGTTGGAACAGCATGAATTTTGCGAACAAAGAAAAGGCAAGAACTGCAGCCATGAAGTTATTAAATCAATTCTGACGTGAATTTACAGACTTGGAAGGTCGTGGCATTTCTTCCTGTGAGATATTTCTCTCCGAAATGTCTCACTTGAGAGGAAGGGAGGCCCTGTTTCAAAATTCTCCATTTCTGCTGAGGAACCAAGTGAGATGTCCGGAAATTTTAGGCTTGGAAAATCTTTCAAAAATTTGGGTAATCTATTAAGAGCCTTAGGCTTCTCTGCCAACATAGCCCCTTAGCAACTAACTTGATGCTGCAGTAAGATAGAAATGACAACACTCTCTCCTTGCTCAGAGAAGCTCAGTAATGCACTTCTGTAGGCTATGGAAAGTTTCAGATGCAAAATGTTTCCTTCCTACAAATCTGCCTAAATTTCTAGGACATAGAGGGCAAGATATTCTTGAAAGCGAACCTGCCATGTTCATTGTTAAGCTGAGACAATACAAAATAAATGGAGAATAAAATCTTGGACATATAGAAGTCAATGAAGAAACTGCTGTTTACTCCAGATAGCTCAAATATTTTAATCAGCTCTTTCCAAATGCCTAAGATTTTACTTGCAAGCTTTAAAGTAATTTTAGCTCCTTTTCTCCATATAGAGTGGATCTTGCCATCCTAAGAGTGTGTCCACTGGAGTGCTTGATGCTAAGAATGGATAGAAAGACTGCTGTGCATATTGTAGAAATGATCTTGCTAGCTAAGCAGTTTTCAGTGGATGTACAGAAAAAGGTCACTGGCTTTTGTTTTATATCTTTTGGCTGTTGTCAGACAAGACAGAAAGACACCTGCGGGTCGAGGAAATAATGGTTGAAAAACATCATTGTCACTACAAATGCCAGAAACATCCCATCTACACAGATTTTTCCCTCTGATCATCATGGACTTGTATCGTATACTGTGCTGAAAAGTTATTTTCAGTGATGGTTATTGTAGAGAAATATTGCTTTCAATATAATCCCTTAGAATACAAGGTAGAAAAATCTACAGAGTTCTTGTGTGTGTGTGGGTCTGGTTATTCAGTGACTTTTATTTGCTTTAGTTCATATGTTTGCTTTAGTTCTTGCTCTCAAACAGCTAGCAGTGCTAATTTTTATTTTGATTAATTATTTTTGGTGAATCACTAAAGAAACCTCTTATCAAATTATAGAAGTGTTGGGCTTGCTTTCCTGTTGTAGCACAGCTGTGCAGTATTTACGAACACAGTTAGCAAATGTTCACCATTTTTGTGGGGGAAAAAAAAGTACTTTCCTGGCAAGAGTGCAATTTGCCAATATACGTCTCTACAAATCTGCTCTCCACCTTCATCGGCTTGGTTCTTTCTAGTGCTCTATTAGGTGAAGCTTTCTCCTCTTTTCCAAGGTGAAAAGAGCATATTATAATTTTGTCGTGAAGGCTTTCCTGGGAGTACAGCTGTTTTCAGACAGTATTATTGGCTTTTGTGTGGGAAATGAAGCTGTCACGTTTCTGAATAGTTCATTCAAACTCGAGCCTGCTACTCCAGTTCTGCATTGGGAAAACAAATTTCTTCATATCAGTTGTGCCAGAGGCAGAAGTGTGGGGAAGAATAAGGTAGGTATTATGTTTGTCGCAAGGATGTCATAACAGCCAACCCAGAACCAGAGCCCGGAGTGCCAGAGGGACACCATGTGAGTCAGTCCTGGCCGTAAGAGGTTTCCATTAGGTATGTAAGGGTAGGCAAAGCAATCGATGCAGTGGCCCGCAGATACGATCTTTTGCATGGGAGGCTAGACAGGAGCAATCAGCTAAATAGAAGGACAAGAGCAGAGGAAAGGAGAAATTAGAGTAAGGAGCCGATGAAGGTTTGGGGAAGCCTGCAGGAAGATGCCTGACTTCGCTGTGCAGTTTCTTTTCCCAAACCATGTAGTGCCATTGCATGAGCTCTACTGTACTGAGCAAACCTCTGCCATGAAGTGCTGGTTTTGCAGGGTTGCTGGAGTGGTGTTAGCCTCAGCCACGCCTAATTGTACTCCCTTCCCCTGGTGTGGCTATCAATACTTGCTTTATGTGCCTCCTTCAGCTGTTGTGTTGGCTTTTTGCTTATGAATACATCATTTAGGCTTTAATTGTACTTTCTTATTTGGTGACTGTTACACAGTCATTTCTTGTAGCTTATTTAATATCTGGATCTGAAGATGCAAGATTAAGTCCATTCCAGTTATTCACTGAAATTGTTGAGATTGCTTATGTGATTAGGGACTTGAGCAATTGTGTCTTAGGAGATTCAGGCAGGAGTTTGTAACTTGCTTCGACACGTGTTCTAGGTGCTTTCCAGACTTTCACTAAGCACTGTGCTTCGCTGTGGATGACCTTTATGCCCAAGCCACATGGTTCCAAAGCCCTGTACTTTCCGCCGTCTTGCTTATGATTTACTTACTAGCCTGCAGCATGGCATCTCTGTAACGCTGCATTTCTTCAGAGACCTCTTTTTGTGCCATTTACATCATTAAATGAGGATGATGCAGCAGACCCTTCATCCTCCTGACAATCCCCAGTTCCAGGGTGAGATTTCAAGCTTTGAGGCTTAACGCAGGTCTCCCCCATTCAGTTCAGCATAAATCATCACGCCAGCCCACCCTTTGGTGTGCTCCCTTCCAGGCTGTTTGCTCATACCGTGTCGCTTGTATCGAGCGGTTTGTAGTCTATATGATATTTTTTTTGAAATCTGTTTTTGCTCTGGACAGTTTAACTTAAGCCTTCCCCCTAAAATTATTGCTGTAAGGTTGTAATGAGGGTTTTTAATGGGATTACAATTAGGAAAGCAGCTGGTTTAAGGTAACAAAGTTAGTGATATAATTACCACAACAGACATTGTTCTGTGCCAGGATGGTCGGAACACAAAAACAGAACCTTGTAGCGGCTGCCTTTGCTTATGTGTGTTGGGAAATCACGTTTCTTGTTGAGCGAGTATTTTAAGGATTTCTTCCTAAATATTCAGCATCATGAACACAAGCATAGCTAAAGCTAATGGCAGGCTAATGGTGGCTTTGAAACATTTGGGCTAGGCCTGCTATACAGCTTTGTTTCCACAGCATGGCAACTTTTTTTTGTAGTTGCATGCTCTAATGTTTCCCTGTTTTGGGCCAAGAGCACCTAGAAGTTGTTTCAATTCCCTGCTCTTAATAAAACACACATTTATATTAAATCATGTGACAGGCATTAGCATATTAATGTTTCTGTGTTCTTTGCTTGCCATGTAATTGCGACCTCTCC